GCCATCTCCAGACATTATGCACTTTCCCTGCAAGCCCAACATCATGGTCCCTCAGGCCTACTCAGACAGCTGTCCAATGTCCACCTCAAGTCTTCCTCCAAATGATCATTTCCTTACTAGTTTCCTAAACTAGAAGTCAAACTCCAATCAGCAAAGCCCTTGCTTTCACCTTACTCAAAACTAGTTTCCAATCTCCTTTGAGCAAAGGCACTTCTATTGCCATTTTTTATTGTCCAAGGGGGCAATTTGTTAATGCCCTTTTCTTGACCACACTCGCACAATTATGACATCTACCCAAAAAGCCTACCTCTAAGAATTGTAACAAATATCAGCATTTTTTTGTCATCTTGTTTTATAAATTTAGAAGGCAGCCATGCTTGTGGTCTGTTCACAATGGCATGTCGACGTCTTCCAAAGGAAAGTCAAGTTACGTTACACAAAGTGGTCGGCCTCCGCGTTCTGCAGCATCTATTAAACAAATAGCTGGCCCGTGCGTGCCCGCATTCATACAGCACACGCATGTCACTGGATGTCCTTTCTCCTCCACACGCGCTCCTGTAGTTAAAAGCACAGCTTTCTGGCAGATTCTGGCCCCCTCCCCAGCCCACCTCCCCCTGGAGCAGTTGCTTAGAGCCCCCCAACCTCCCCCGCCAAAAAAAGCCACTTTTCCCAAAAGCAAGGAGCTGGCGAGCAGGGGAAGCCGCTGCACCCGCAGCTGTCACCACGGAGCGCCGTCGCGCATGCGCGGCGCGAGCAGCTCGGCCCCCAGCGCCGCAGGTCGTCCGCAGGGCGGCTCCGGAGCCTGAGGTGGAGCGAGGGAGGCGGTGCGGGAGCGCGAGCGGACCGCGCGGCGTGCGGAGGCTCACTGCCTCAGGACTGGGTGGCGAGCGGGGCGGGCGGGCACACTCACAATTTCAGCATCCACTCGCCCTCCATCACCAGCGTCCAGTTGGAGGCGGTCATGGGCTGGACCCTGCTCTGCTCCGCCGGCAGCGAGGCCTGCTCAGAGCCGGCCGGAGTCTCCGCCGCCGCGGCCGCCGCCAGCCAGGCGGCCAGGAGCGTAGTCAACAGCCGGCCGCAGCACCCGCCCGCCATGTTGGGACACGAGACAGGCTCCTCGACAGGGTGTGTGGGGAAAGCGAGCGGCCTCACACGACCGCCCGCTCGAGGAAGCCTTTCGAGGCGGCCTGAGGAGATGCCGAGCCGCTCCGCCTCCGCCCCACTGTGCACAGACACCCCGCGCGCGACGCGAGCCGCTGACACCGCCTCTTCTCGGGCGGGGCCTGCTGAGGCCACGCCCCCTCCCGCTCTGCCCGCGGTTGCCCGGGGTGCCGGTTGCCTTGGCAACAGCCGTCCTTTCTTCCGGAGCGCCAAGCTGAAGAAAACCAGATGACCCAACGTGGTGGAAGTTAGAACCTTGCGCCGCCGGCAGGCGCAGGGTCCCGAGAGGGGTGGAGAGGTGAGGGGAGAGGGGCTGGGCATGCGGGATTTTTCTAAAGGAGAGACGTGGTTAGTCGTTAATAAGCCCACCTGCTCCTCAGGGGTAGCAGGAAGACTAGCCGTGGACTGCAAAGTCGACGTAATGTTGAACGACAAACGGAGGGACAACGGTGCGCATCCCTTGCCGAGGGAAGTGCCTCGTGCCTGTGAGGTGACACGTCACTGCCTGGTTGCAGACAATAATTAAACCAAGCAATGCCACTGCGTTTTCTTTTTAGAAAAATGATTTTAACAGACGCTTTTTAAAAAAGGAGTATTACACATAAAAGGAGTCAGATAAGACCGCCAGTTGTAATCACAAGGGACTCACCTTTCTCTCAGCCGCAGTTTTGTCAGATTTGAACTGAGAGAAAATGACTTTCAAATCTCTTTCCAGATACACATTAAACGAATCTGTTCCTTGGGACCGCTGAGCCATTAGTGTGTGAGACTGAATTGCAAATAGAAGGTGGGTGCCTGTCTTCAAAATGTGCTTCCTCTTCACTTACCGCTGTGCAAAGCGTGAAACTAAATGTGGTTTACAGATTATGAAAAAGATGTGGTTTCTTTCCTACGCTTAAAATAAAAAGCTACACAACGAAGAGGACTTTAGGACCCATAAATTCAATCTCCAGTCAGTAACCTAGAAAGAAAGATTAATTTTGCCTGCAGGGAAGATCTTGCCTGAATTGGGTATTGATTAGTAGTAGCTAAAAGCTATGTGTGAACCCAGATCTGTATCATCAAAATATAATATTCAAAAGTTTACAAACTATTAAGAAAACGTTTTTTGAAAACAATGTTACTAAGACTCACTGTTACTGTGAGCACTGCATCCCCCACAGTCAATGAGAAACATTTTACTGTGCTTGTAAAAAGAAATGCTTCATAAACAAGAAATCTATCATTATTTTCTGTGTCACTTTTTGTATAGGATATGACTGGCTTAAAAAGAGTTCTTAAAGTAATATTTGCTATTAAGGAATTATTGATTTTATTGAGTGTGAGAAAGGCTTTATGACTATATTTTACATCTCTATTGGTTATAGATAGTGAAATATTTGGGCATGAATTAATATGATGCCTAGAATTTGCTTTAAAAGACCCCAGCAGTAAAATGTGGGTTGTGGAAGGAGGATGTATAGTATAGGGTTGGCACAATGTCAGTCACTGTTGAAGCTAAGTTACTTTTACTATTTTATCTATTGTGTATGAAAAGTCAAAAAGACAAAGTCTAGGGCTCACACATTCACACAAACTCATTGCTCAAGCACGTCCTGTTTCTAACAGAAATCGTGCACTCAAGGATGGCATTTTCTGGCCTTCGGAGTGAGAAGGGTAGGAAGCAATATATCAAAAGTGTGTGGGAGGCAGTGAGGAGGCACAGAGCAGGGTGATAATGCCCTTATAGTCAGACCACAACCAGCCTCTCCATCTCAGCCCTGACACTTCTAGTCATGTGATTTGGGGGCTAAAACTAGTTAATATCAAGGTTCTCTTTAATTGCAGATGATGGTACACTTTGCTCCAAATGGTTGCTATGATGATTATAAGAGTTAAGGATAATACCTAAACTATAGTGGTAGGTCTCAAAAAAATGTATGCATTAGTATTATTTGCTTCTAAGGCTCTCTAATTTTTCTTACGTAAGTTAAATTTACTTCGTGTGGTTCACGAACTAGCTTCAGTTCTGCCCACCTTACATTCCACCATCCTTTGTGTTCCAGTAACACAAAGCTCCTCCCCACTCCCCAAGCACACTGTGTACTTTTATGCCTCCTTGCCTCTTCATTCTGGTTAAAATATTCTTCTTTAGTTACCCAGTGAGTCATTATTCAGCCTCTATCCCATGCAAAATGAGCTGCTATCTCCTCTCAGATACAATGGTGCTCCTGTACAAACTCTACTACATTTTTTTCCATATTGTAACACAATAACATGTAGTTGTCACCCTCTCCCCTCATCCCTCCAGCCTACAAGGAACTCTTCAAAGTTAAGGGCTTCACTTTATGTATCTTAGTCCTTAACAGAACACTCATTACATAACAATAGTAGGTGTAAGCAGCTTCAGACACAGTGCTCAGAGATCAGACTCCCTAGTGTTCAGGCCTGTGTGTGATCCTCTTCTCTTGAATGTGGCCTGGGCCTAGTAACTCACTCCCATATAAAAGAATATGGGAATATCACTTCTGTAATAAGGTTAGAAAAAGAGTAGAATACCTGCGACTTCCTTCTGACTGGAAATCTTTTTCCCCTCTTGCTTGCTCAGTCTGAGATTCTGTGTGGAGAGTTCCATGTGACAAAGAACTGAAGGAGGCCAACCAACATCTCATGAAAAACTGGCTTCAATCCAACATCCCTGTAAGAACTGGTCCTACAAATAACCACATGAGTTACCTAGATAGCAGTGGATCTATCCCTAGTGCCGTTAAGATGACTAAGCTTATGAGTGACCCAGAACCAGAGGGCACAGCTTAACAGGGTCCTCTACCCACAGAAACTGTGAGGTAATCAGTGTTGATGGATTAAGCCACTAAGAGTTAAGTTGTTATGTAGCACTAGGTAACTCAGTGAGAGTACAATCATTTTCATATTTAAAGTATGGATTTACAGTTTTTAAATGATTGGTATCTGGTACTAGGAAAAAAGCTTATATCCTCACAGTAGTGTCCAATGATAGCCTCATGGTACAGCTATGGTTATACAAAACTACATGAGTCCTAGAAGGAAAGGGAATTCCCTGGACTCTGATGAGGTGGCATTGTAGGAGAGTGGAGAAGAATGTGGTGTATCCATGTCTAGTTCTCCTATCTTTCTACTCTGCAGTTAAAAATCATTCCCTAAGTGGGTTTCCATACTCCCCTTGAAGTTTGGCACACCAGTGTGACTATTCCGTCAATAGACTGCAAATAGAAGCAGTGTGATGTATCACTTCCAGATCTAAACAAATCATTGGTGTAAGGTGCTCCAGTGTTCCCCTGTCCTTCTATGGTTATTTTAGAGAAAAGATCATTATTAAGCAGTAGCATGAATTGCTAAACTGTCTCATAGAGGACAGATGGCCTGAGTAGATTCCGAGATTTTCAGTGGACTTCACATAGACAAATTTTTGCTATGATAGCTTATTCATGTTAGGTGTTGTTGCATAACCAACCATCCAAAAACTTTGGTCTCATGGTTCTTGGGTTGCTGGGCTCAGCGAGACTGGTTTTGTTTGTGTTCCTTTATCTAGTGTCAGATACTTGGAGGCTAAGGCAAGAGCTAGCTGCAACCATTTGCATTCATCATGCCTAGCAGCTGGTACAATATGGCCAAAGCAGCTGAGAACTGATCAGGAATATGTATTAGTTAAGCAGCCTCTCCATCTGGCTACTGTGGGCTTCCTTATAGCAAGGCACTTTCAGTACTTTCATACCTTCTATCTTCAGAGCAAGAATTCCCAAAAAGCCCAAGTAGAAACTGTATTTCTTCACAAGACTTTGATAACATAGGGTCTGAGAATGCTGCTTCTGCCATATTCTATTAGTCAAACAAGGCATTAACAGTCAAACCAGACTAAAGAGGGGAGGAATTAGACTTTATCCTTAACAAAAATCCTCAAAATAAATCTGACTAACCCACTGTCTTATTTATTTGACTTATTCAAATTAGTCAGGAGTAGCCTGGTATTATTTGTTTGTTTTGAGGGGAAGATGTGGTATTCCACAGAGCAGTGTGGGAACAACAACTCCATTTTTACCTTTTTGAATAGGTCCTGTGAGACATGTGTTTGGGCAAAAGGTATTGGAATGATTTTTAAGTTCTTGGGCAGCCAGATGGTTTGAAATTGTGGGATTTAAGTACCCACAAGACTGCAAAATTTTTGTTAAACTTGTTTAAAGGAAAGATTAAAAAGGATATAGTGATTCTTATGTAAACAATCCTATGAGGATAACTATCTTCTGTATTCTGAACCCTTCTTAGCCTTAATAATGGATGTAAAAATCCAATACACGATGAGAAATAAAAACTTACATTCTAATGGTGGAAACTTTTAATACATAGTTACAGGCAAAGATTTTTATATAATTGACAATTTGAGATTTCATATTAAGAGGATAATCTATGAAAGACAAGGAGATTGTTTTCACATTAGGAACTATACAATAAGGTATAGAAACAAAATACAATAGTTTTCTTGTTAAGTGTGGTAAAACTTATATGGAAAAATTAAATAAGCTAAGCAATGTAGTAAAATTAGTTCATAAAGTAATAATAGTACAAGAATTTAATTACACAAACAGATTTGCTAAATGCCTTACAGGAACAAGAGGTGGAAGGGAGAATTTAAATAGGACACATTAAATGTCCTAGAACAGATGGTAGAAGATGCCATGAGGGAGAGAAATACATTGTACCCAGGCTGGTGACTAGGAAAAATTCCAGAAAGAGACATAGTAAGCCTCTAAGAAATAACCCCAGGACTATGTCTTGCTAAAAGAAAGTCAACTAATTTTTTCCAAAGTAGTAAGTGAGCTCAGGAAAACAGCTGCATATAAGAGAAATACACACAACTGAATTCTCTGTACAACTCAATTTTCTTCCCACTTATTAATACAAATTAATTTTAAAATGTAATATAGATAAATATTCCATTCAGTAGCAACAAAAATCTTCTAAAATAGAAACATGCAAGACATAGGGGGAAAGCTAGAGGACTTTTATATGTCATAGATGTCAGTTCTCCCAAATTAATATACAAATCTAAGGCAATATAATTCAAAAAACCAACCCAGACCTGATAGAATTCTAAAAGTATATGTTAAGCTAATGCAAAAAAAAAAAAAAAAGCAATTATAGAGGACTTGATCATAGGACTTCTTGGAGGGCAAAAAAACTCAGTCAATGAAAGCAAAACTAAACAAATGGGACTGTATCAAAGGTAGAAGCTTTTGCACAGCAAAGGAAATGATCAATAGATTAAGAGATATCCAACAGAATAGGAAAAAAATGTTTGCAAGCCACATATCTGACAAAGGATTAATATTTCAAATATATCAGCTACTTAAAAAGCTCAACAGCAACAACAAAAATTCAGTTGAGGAATGGGCAAAGGACTTCATTACACAGTTCTCAAAAGGAGAAATACAAATGACCAACAAATATATGAAGAAATGCTCAATATCACTAGCCATCAGGGAAATTCAAATCAAAATCACAATGAGATAGCACCTCAACCCTGTCAGAATGGCTGAAATTCAAATAAGAGAGAGTAACAAATGCTGGCAAAGATGTGGAGAAAGGGGAACACTTACACACTGTTGGTGGGAATGTAAATTAATACAGCCACTATGGAAAACAGTGCGGAGATTTCTTAAAAAACTAGAAATAAACTTGCCGTATGATCAGCAATCCACTACTTGGTATATACCCAAAAGACTTGAACACAATGTATCAAAGAGATACCTGCAGGCCAGCACCGTGGCTCACTTGGCTAATCCTCCACCTGCGGCACCAGCACCCCAGGTTCTTGTCCCGGTTGGGGCGCCGGGTACTAGTCCCAGTTGCTTCTCTCCCACTCCAGCTCTCTGCTGTGGCCCAGGAGGGCAGCGGAGGATGGCCCAAGTGCTTGGGTCCCTGCACCCTCATGGGAGACCAGGAGAAAGCACCTGGCTCCTGGCTACAGATCGGCGCAGCACCGTCCGTGGCAGCCATTAGGGGAGTGAACCAATGGAAGGAAGACCTTTCTGTCTGTCACTCTCTCACTGTCTATAACTCTACCTGTCAAAAAAAAAAAAAAAAAAGAGAGACACCTGCACAACAGCACTTTTTACAATAGCCAAAATTTGGAATCAACCAAGGTGTCCATCATCAGATGAATGAACAAAGAAAATTTGGCATATATGCACAATGGAATATTATTGATCTGTAAAAAGGAAAGAAATTTTACCATTTGTAGCAAAATGGATATGACTGGAGGACATCATGTTGAATGAAATAAGCTAGACCCAGAAAGACAAATACCACATCTTCTCTTTATATGTGGGAGCTAAAATTTAGCAAACAAGAAAGCAAAAAAGAAGAATAAGAAGAAAAAACAAGAAAGAAATGTCTGTGGGTATCAGTATTGCTGTAAACATAATTTTGTAAAGCTGTGTTTTATACTTTTGTCAAACCAGTGGTTGACAATGTTATACTACTATAGTTGTAATGATCTGTGATTACTTTAAAATATACTGTATATGGGTGACATGGTCATTTTTCCATTCAGTTGTTTATAACTGTAGTCTATACTCCCACTAAACTAGGGCATTTTTGGTTTTTACTTTTAAACTTCTTATTCGGGCAAGTATTAAGCCTTTCTACTGTAATATAAATTTAAAATATGTTATCTAACAAGCTAAAAAAATGAGAAAGAAGGAGGCTAAGAAGGAGAGGGGCAGAGAGGGAGGGAGGGAGGAAGGGAATATCATGTTCTTAGAATTGTGTCTACATAGCACATTGAATCTGTTAAAAACTAATTAAAAATTAAAATAAAAGATGTGCTGGAAAGTTCCAGTAAAATGGAGATAATGCCATAAGAAAAAGCAAATTGATAAAAAGAAAACAAAACCTCAAGAAGTAAAACTATATATATATATATATACACACACATATAAGATACATATATAAGATATAAATACATAAACATATATAAGATACATATACATATATATTAGTATTTATATATGTTAGAGGTAGTATATTAGTCAGTATGAGGTATATGTAGGCAGTAATAACAAACCCTAAAATCTCAGAGCCTGACTACTGAAATTCATTTCTCTATCAAGCAAAATCTACCTTATATCCAGGAGACTCTCCAGGGAAACTATGCGCTGGGCAGGGTCTAAACAAAACAGACTTCTTCAATCTTAGGGCTATGCTATCTCAACAGAAAACATTTTCCATGGTAATAGCAGAAAATGAGGAATGTAAAAGGCTGCAACAAGCTTTTGGTTTCCTCAGTCCAGAAGTTACACCCACCAGTTAAAGCCTGTCTAACCAAACGCGTCATTGTTCTTCATGGAAACTAAAAGCTGATGAACCTAATAATGTCAAAAATGACATTTCAGGCCGGCGCCACGGCTCACTAGGCTAATCCTCCGCCTTGCGGCGCCAGCACACCGGGTTCTAGTCCCGGTCGGGGCGCCGGATTCTGTCCCGGTTGCCCCTCTTCCAGGCCAGCCCTCTGCTGTGGCCAGGGAGTGGAGTGGAGGATGGCCCAGGTGCTTGGGCCCTGCACCCCATGGGAGACCAGGAGAAGCACCTGGCTCCTGGCTCCTGCCATCGGATCAGCACGGTGCGCCGGCCGCAGCGCGCCGGCCACGGCGGCCATTGGAGGG